ATAAAATTTTAAATTCCGCTGCAAACTCTGTTCCGTACGGTATATCGAACCCAACATTTTTCCCCCAATTTAAGACACCCGTTCATTTTATTTACCGATGTGGCACATTAAAAAAAAAAAGAAAAATTAAAAACATAATCCAGGTAAGCAAGCAGGTAAGAGTTACCCTCAGTAGCCGGTGGTAGGATTATTTATCACGTTTTTTGGAACTTACAGGACCTTTTGTAAATCTTAGTCAGTTAAAGGACTAAAACTCAAATCGGTGCCACTTAAAGGACTAAATCTCTAATTTTTCCTCCATCGTGCGGCCACGGGGCTCCTCTTGCAGAATACGGGCATCGCGAAGTATATGTTTTTTTATCTCTGGTAGTCAAGGCCGGGTGGTGAAATCCCGGGCCCGCTACGAATATGGCCCGCATATCATGGCGACCTCTCACGGCCTTGTCGTGCTGAACACACCGTTCGATTTTGATCGCTGTACTCTCCGCATCATGAATCCCGGGACCTCCGAGTACATCGACCTCCCTCTGCACGTCGGTAGAAAAAAACTCGACTCACAAACCTTGTTTGACATATGTGGCGGCCACCATGGAGTACAGAGTGGTGCAAGTGTACATTAATTTAGTGAAAGGTGTCAAATTGACGTTCGATGCCATATCGGCCGGGGACGTACCCTACGAGTGCGACATATTGACCGTCGGGTCCTACGACGGCTCGTGGAGGCACTTGCGCACGGACCGCTTGTCTCGTGAGGCGAAGAGCTTGATGTCGATGGGTCCCGGTTTGTCGACCGAAGGTTTCGTGCACTGGGTCCCGTATGCGACTGTTTTGATCCTCGATGCGGAAACCGAGGTTTTGACCGAGTCGCGGGTTCCCGTGCCTTTAGGTCATTTGGGGGAGAAAAAGTTTTAGTGTCGGGAGGGAAGAATTTGACGCTTGTGGTCGCGCTCGGGATTCTCTCATGGGATGTGTGGGAGATGAATCCCGAAATGGGGGTGTGGAGGAAGGCCTTTAGCGTCGGTTTGGAGAAGGAGATGTGGAGATTTGAAGAGGTGTTCTTGAATGAAGATGATCGGCTTATACCAGTCTGGTTGGTTAAACTACCCGGAGGGGATGGTGTTTGCTCCGAGTAGAGGTCGATATTGCACCTTGTACTGGGTTCGTACGGGTGAGAATATTGAGTCAGATTGATCTACCTATGTTTGCTAAATACTTTAAGTATTGGTCTCATCAGAGTGGTTTGGTGCCACTTCCAGAATGTTGGATATATTGAGCTTGTGTTTCTTTTCTACAAGTCATTTTTTGATATATATTTAGGTTTGTGGTTTCTTCTCTACAAGTAATTTTGCTGCGGTTAAATTTAGCTGTTATTACTTGTTAGCACAATAACAACAACAATTTGTGCACTGATTTGCAGCTGGTACCGGAAACATACAAGTAATGACTAATTAATTATAATAATAATAATAATAATAATAATAATAATAATAATAATAATAATAATAATAATGAAGTCTTATTATTATTTAAAAACATATAGTTGGGGATGAATATGAATCCTTATTTATTTGATATATATATATATATATATATTGCAATGATAATAACTTGATAAAAAAAAGGATATTATATCGTTGAATAAATGCTTAAGGTGTGTATTTCAACAAAAGTGTGTGGTACACTTACGGCCAGGGCAATTATGATGACCTTGGTCAGGTGGATGATGACCTTGGTCAGGTGGATGTTGACCTTGGCCAGGTGGATGATGACCTTGGCCAGGTGGATGTTGACCGTAGCCCACCTGTAATTAGATATAGATTAATTAAAAAAAATATTAAAATTGTTTTATTGGAAAAATGAGTTGGTGAATGAAATGATCAACGGTAGAAGAATGAAATCATTTTTAATTATAAATAAAATATGAGATAAAAATGTAATGATTAAAAGTTGATGTATTAGATAAATAATAAAATAATGGATGCAAATAATTGGTACGATGGTAAAATATAAAGGACAAAAAAACTGAGTAGAAGAATCGTGAACTTTTCTAAAGATAACAAAAAATTTATTAAATCGTAGTATTGTTTTGCAAAAGAAAAATAAAATAATCCGAATAAGATTTTTATTTTTAGCTAAACTCCAACCTTTCTAATAAGAGCCAAACACATCTCTCCCTATATATTAATTCAAAACATGTTGAGCATATGTGGCGGATTCTCATGCTTCGGATGCTGACATGGCAAAAATTTATGCTTCGTGATGTTGTTTTATTATTATTTTTTACTTTGGAGTTAAGTTTGGTATTAGACATAAATAACTTTACACATATATTCATTTACTCAACAACCATGTTGTACATGGGTATTAATACTAGTTTGGTATTTATTTATTAATTTAGACTACTATGCATATAAAAAAAAAAAAAAAAAAAAAAAAAAAAAAAAAAAAAAAAAAAAAAAAAATTGAAGGAAATAAAAAGTGAATAATCAAAGTATAAGAAGCATATAAAAAAATTAAAATTATAAAATATAAATTGAATAATTAGTACGAAATAATATATTAACATATGAGTTGATGAAATTCAACAGATAATAATGTTAGACATGTATTGTTAATTTATCTTGCTTTAAAAGAAAACATTTATTTATAAATGAATGGAATATTAAGTACGTAGATAAGATAACAACTAGACAGTACTCACGGATATCGGCAGCAAGCAACTAGCGATCACTGCAACAATTACCCAAGCAAACAATTTGGCCATATTCGTAATTCTTTTTTTTGGGAGAATTTTTCAATTTGTTGGAGTTAAATGCTTTTTTAAACCGCTATAAATAGACGTTATATTATCGTGGGTGTGCAAATGAGGGCCCACATTGATGCTGTTTTACCAAATTTTGTCTTTGGTTCTCTATGTTCAATAATAATGTGACAAATGGACTTTTAATAGAAAAGATTATCCCATGCATTTTTGCTAAGCATTTTTTTCCCTCTAATTACTACTTAACTTTTTTAATGTCAATCATACCTATAATAGTATATAATATTTATAAAGTATACAAACCATACCTTTTTTTTATTATTTAAAAATACCAATTATTATAGTTAAGAATCAAATAGGTATGATGGTAGGAAATGTTAGAAAAAACAAAGAGAATCAGATTCCTCCCACTTGCCCACCGCCCATTTTGCCCACTTGATTATTAATATATATATATATATATATATAGGGTTGGGTTCACATGAGAATGGTTCCTAGTGAAAGAAATAAGAATAAGTATTAGCCATTAGATCTGATCATCCAATGGTAAAAAAAAAAT